TATATATATAGTTCACAACCCCCCAAAATAAATAAATAAAAACAGTTTTTAAAAAGGCAATGATGACTATAAAATCTAATAAAATGTTGATGATGAAACTTTGGGATGAACTGTAACGTCTCATGTTCTGCAGTGATTTCAGTCAGAGCTGATGGAGATACAAAGATATTTATCCCATATGGTGGGTTTTTAAACCATGACAAGACTGAATAAAAACAAGCTAAAGTCAAAATGAAATAATATTTGCATTTTTAAAGTGTAAGAAGTAGAAAAAAGTTATCTGAAAAATTATTACTAGAACCAAAATKTCTACAAGTACCAAAGTATTTGTACTTGACCCCTCTGAAAATGACTCAAGTAATAAAGAGACTGATTATAACATCTGATTAAAAATTWAAAATAAAAAAGTTTTGTGCAAATTGTAGTGTTTTTAAAAACTAGAATGAAGAAAATTGATAAAAAGAAACAACATAATTACAAAGTAACAAATTCCATCAGAAAAAAAAAACACTTTTCCAAATCAAAAAATTCATTTCATTTTGAAGCAACATGYTCCAGCAGGTGACGTGTTTGTTAGGGTCAGTTACTGTTTCTGTTTATTCCCCTGACCTCCAGCAGAAACACCAGGTCTCAGGTGTGTTYCTGCTGAAAACCTTTTCATTCAGAGAACTGCACAGACTGTTCAGACATTTTACTCATCAGTTTAACTCTGACTCTTAAACACATGATACACAGTCCTGCTCTTCATTGACATGTCTGAACTATTTGTTATAATCAAAGGTGTAATTATGTGTTATTGTGATTAAACTGGTTATAGAGCAGTGTTGTTCTGTGGGTCATCTCAGTACTTATTAGAGGATAAATGAGTTCAAACATGCCTTACMCTAACAMAACAGACTRGTAGTTATTTCATCAGACTGCAGAGCTGCTTGGCAGGAAGGCCTTCCACCAGTGCACAGGAAGTGCTTCAGTTATAAGACCAGTTTCATTTCCTGGTTCTGGGCTGAATCYTTCAGGACTGAACAAGTGTTTGTTCCAGCTGAAAGGTTTGATTTTATATCATGCAATAAAATGTTCAAATCTAAAGTTGTCTCCTTGTCATTTGTTTGTTGATAAAACTGTCTTACTTTATAATATTACTCAAGTAAAACGTAGTACAACCATTCCTAAAAATACATTTTTTCTACCAAGTTCCTCAGTGTGAGTATATGTAAGTACATGTAAGTACATGTAAGTACACACTCTAAGTACCTGTAAGTACATGTA